AACTATAAAGGGAAGGGTAACAGCTCTCCTGTGTACAGTACTATAAAATCCCTCCTGGCCAGAGACTCCAAAATCCTTTTACCTGTAAAGGGTTAAGAAGCTCGGGTAACCTGGCTGACACCTGACCCAAAGGACCAATAAGGGGACAAGATACTTTCAAATCTTGGGGGGGGAGAAGGCTTTTGTTTGTGCTCTTTGTTTTGGGGGTTGTTCGCTCTTGGGACTGAGAGGGACCAGACATCAATTCAGGTTCTCCACATCTTTCTAAACAAGTCTCTCCTATTTCAAACTTGTAAGTAAACAGCCAGGCAAGGCGTGTTAGTTTTCCTTTGTTTTCTCAACTTGTAAATGTACCTTTTACTAGAGTGTTTATCTCTGTTTGCTGTACTTTGAACCTGAGACTAGAGGCGGGTCCTCTGAGCTCTTTAAGTTTGATTACCCTGTAAAGTTATTCTCCATACTGATTTTACAGAGATGATTTTTACCTTTTTCTTTAATTAAAAGCCTTCTTTTTAAGAACCTGATTGATTTTTCCTTGTTTTGAGATCCAAGGGGGTTGGATCTGTATTCACCAGGAGTTGGTGGGAGGAAGAAGGGGGGATGGTTAATTTCTCCTTGTTTTGAGATCCAAGGGGTTTGGATCTGTATTCACCAGGGAATTGGTGAAAGGTTTCTCAAGGCTTCCCAGGGAAGGGAATTAGCTTTGGGAATGGTGGCAGCAGACCAGATCTAAGCTGGTAGTTAAGCTTAGAAGTTTTCATGCAGGCCCCCACATTTGTACCCTAAAGTTCAAAGTGGGGAAGCAGCCTTGACAGGCCTGGTGCTTCAGGCTTTCTAAGAACCTGGTACAGTAGATGCTATAGAATGCACACTCTGGAAAAGGATGGTTTGGCTGTGGGGAAAAAACCTGCAGATCTCTAGTTAGGCAAGGAGAGTCTGAATAAAAATGGCATTTGACTTCTTTTCACAGAAAGAGGAAAAAGTCAAAACCAATCAAAGCCACGCCTGGAAATGTAAAACACAATGCACCTCTCACAGCAGAATTTACCTAACGAGCTCAGGAGCCTCTTATGTGTTTGCGACCATTGTCAGAATCCTTTTTTATGGGTGCTAGGTCTCTCCCACAGTTATTTTCTTTTGCTCTCGAAAAGGTGCTGATTTACTAAATATTCACTAGTATAAGAGAAATAATTGTCCGTCCACGTCTACACTACAAAGTTAAGTCGACTTCATGTAAGTCGACACCGAGCCTCTGATTTAAACAAGTTGATCTTGCGTGTCCACACTACGCTCATTGTGTCGGTGGAGTGCATCCTGACTAGCAGGGCTTGCATTGATGCACGGAACACTGCACTGTGCGTAGCCATCCCGCAGTGCATGTAGACACAGATGAGTGGAATTTTGGGTTGGGCTTGCAATGCCTTATGGGACCAAAACATTGGCACAGGTGGTTATGGGAACATGGTGTTAGCCTCCCATGATGCACTTACCTCCCTCCCTCCCTGAAATCAACAGCAAACAAACCAAGCCTTTTTTCATAAGCCTGGGTTACCTGCGTGGACGCCATAGCATGAAAAGCCTGGACCCCGCTCAGCTGTAACTGTTGTTGTGAGCATTACAAACACCTCATGCCTTATCCTGCAGTATTTACACAGCCGATACAGGAGCTGCCACACGGAACAATGTGATGTCACGCAAGCAGCCATGCTGGAAGACATAGAGCAGAGCAATTCGCAGTTGCTGGTGACCATCACGCATCACCTTGACACGGTTGAGCGCTGTTTCTGGGCCCGGGAAACAAGCACTGATGAGCAGTGGCTGTGGAACTTTCGAATGTGTAAGGCCACTTTCCAGGAACTGTCTGAAGAGCTCTCCCCAGCCCTGAAGCGCAGCAATACTAAAATGAGATCTGCTCTGATAGTGGAGAAGTGAGTGGTGATTGCTGTGTAGAAGCTTGCAATGCCAGACTGCTATCCATCAGTGGGGCATCAATTTGGAGTAGGTAAATCTACCGTGAGATCTGTTGTGATCCAAGTTTGCAGGGCCATCGACAGACTTCTTCTAAGAAGGGTAGTGACTCTGAGGAACATGAAGGACATAGTGGATGCTTTTGTCTCAGTGGGGTTCCCTAACTGCAGTGGGGCGATAGATGGAACGCATATCCCTATCTTGGCACCAGACCACCTTGCCAAAGAGTACATAAACCAAAAGGGTACTTCTCAATGGTGTTGCAAGCTGTAGACACTGACATCAGCGTGGGATGGTTGGGAAAGGTGCATGATGTGCACATCTTTAGGAACACAGGTCTGTTCAGAAAGCTGCAAGCAGGGACTTTCTTTCCAGATCACAAAATAACCATTGGTGATGTTGAAATGCCAATTGTGATCCTTGGAGACCCAGACTACCCCTTGCTCCCATGGCTCATGAAGCCATACACAGGCAGCCTGGACAGCTGTAAGGACTGATTCAACCATAGGCTGAGCAAGTGCAGAATGGTGGTGGAATGTGCCTTTGGACATTTAAAAGGTTGCTGGCATTGTTTGCGTACTAGGTTAGACTTCAGTGAAAGCAATATCTCCATTGTTCTTGCTGCCTGCTGTGTGCTCCATAATATCTGTGAAACAAAGGGAGAAAAGTTTCCACTGGGGTGGGGGGTTCAGGCAGATCACCTGCCAGCCAATTTTGAGCAGCCAGACACCAGGGCAATAAGAAGAGCACATCAAGGGGCTCTGCATCTCTGTGAGACTTTGAAAACCAGTTTGATCAATGAGCCAGAGTAATGGGGCACTTATCTGTGTTGTTCCTTACCAAACTGTCCCCTCTGTTGCATTTTCTCCCCTGTAAACTCCACCCCCACCAACCACAGTGTGTTGAATGAATAAAGAGCCTTTTCTCCTCAATTGGTTTAGTTTTATTATGCACACAAACACACAGAGATAGCAAAGAAAAGTAAGTTAACCTGGGCTGATAACATTGTGTGGGGAGAAACAAGGAAAGCTTGCTTACAGATGCACTACAATAACAATCAAAGGTGTGGAAATGGGCACCTTCTGGTCCTTTCAGAGTAGCAGCCGTGTTAGTCTGTATCTGCAAAAAGAACAGGAGTACTTGTGGCACCTTAGAGACTAACAAATTTATTAGAGCATAAGCTTTCGTGGGCTACAACCCACTTCTTCTGGTCCTTGTACCCTACCCTGGTATTGAGTGCAAAGGATACTGAACCCCCTGCACCCGGCCTCATAGGACATTGTGGGGAGGAGGATGTAGAGCTGGGAGATGATGGCAGCAAGTTCAGCATAGGCTGCAGAGGGACTCTAGCATCCTAAAGCACTAGGGGCTACTGGACTTGGCAGAGCCCAGCTTGCACACAGAACACACTGCTGGGAGGGGGGGTGGAGGGGGAAGGAGAGGGAGCTAGAGGGTTCCTGGCAGCTGCAGTTCCCAGCATGCCCTGAGGGAAGGAGAAGGTGCTGCGCGCAGGAAATTCTGTGCAAGCCTGGGACCGAGCATCAGGCTGTTTCTCCCTCTGGATCCCTGAGCTCTGGGGGCGGTGGGAGGAGCATGGGTGTCTGGGCAAGGTGGTAGGCCCACAGCTGGGCTCTGGGGAGGGAGGGGATGCGGGTACCTGGGCGGGGGGCACTGTTGGGCTCTGAGGAGGAGAGGGTTTGGGTGTATTGCCTGGGGGGACCCGCAGGTGGGCTCTGGGGGAAGGGATTGTGGGTGTCTGGCCCCCCAGCTGGGCTCTGGAGGGAAGAAGGGGGCAGAGAAAGAGGAATTGGGTTGTTGTAGTGGTTTCTTTAACTCTCTACTCCCGGGGGAATTTTTGTGTGTCTGTATTGTTACAGACATACTTACTGATAAGTATTTTGAAATAAATTACCAAAATAATTGAAACTGATGTGATTGTGTAGTGTTATTTTGACAAATAAAATTTGCAGAATTTTGCAGAATTTTAAAATATTATGTGCAGAATTTTTATTTTTTTGCGGGGGGGGGTAGAATTTTTTGGCACAGAATGCCCCAGGAGTACTCTATGATGTGACTGAAGCTGAGGTAATGTGGTATGGGATAGCAGAAAAGCTGATTGTGAAGCAATTATCTGAAGAGTGTCATGAAGTTTTGACGCCAAGGAAGGGAAAAAAACATTTGCACTATACCAGGAGGTAAATTTTCTAGAGCTGTAAGCTCAAAGTGTTTAGGTTATGCATGATCAATATTATACACTCTGTTCTGTTTTGTCAACGTGTGTGTGTGTGTGTGTGTGTGTGTGTGTGTGTGTGTGTGTGGGGAGAGAGAGAGAGTGTGTGTGTGTGTGTGTGTGTGTGAGGAGAGAGAGTGTGTGTGTGTGTGTGTGTGTGTGTGTGTGAGGAGAGAGAGAGAGAGTGTGTGTGTGTGAGTGTGAGGAGAGAGAGAGAGAGTGTGTGTGTGTGAGTGTGAGGAGAGAGAGAGAGAGAGAGTGTGTGTGTGTGTGTGTG